AAGGCCTTTTTCAGTGAGATACAAAGCCTAGAAGCTGTAAAGGAAATGCCTGATACATTTAAATGTCCCATAGGAATCTCAAGATTAACACTAAGGTCATCACTGGCCCAAACCTATGGCACCTCAGGTTTGCCTTACCTCCATGAGTTTGACTAAGATCCTAGACTCAGCCCCCTACAGACCCACACCCTGATCTCTCCCCATTAAGGCTTGCTCATTCTGTTTCCTTAAAATCTCTTGCCTCTGTCCACGTCTCCACGCCGTCAATACATCCCCATCTCCGTCTCCGCCACCACTGGCCTGGTTCTGGGCCACTGTTTCTGGCCTGGACCATAGTACAGTCTGCTTGTCAGTGTCTGTGCCTTCAGGGTTAACCCCTCCAATCCTTGAAACACAGATAGGCTCCTGTCTTGTCCCTCCTCATATATGCTAGCGTCTCCCCGTCATTCCCAGAATAAGAAGCTCTGAAGCTCCTTAGCTTAGCATCCAGTCTCCAGGGTTTCCTCTGGCCAGTCACTGCTGACCTGGCCAGCTTCGCCTCTCGCCACTCCCCTGCCTCTTACTCTTCATCACGCCCACCGCCTGCTAGACTTACGTGTTTTTGGACACACTACGTTTCCCCTCCAGCAAGGTGCCCGTACTATTCACTATGCCGGGATCACCTCCGCACTTCAAGCCCAGCTTGCTGGCCAGCGCCCCCCACCCCGCCTGCCCCCACCACCATGTGCCCTCAGACTTCTGCCTGGCTTTGTCCTCCGGGGAGCCCTTTCCTGATTCTCGGTGCCTTTTCTGTGCCGCCTTTCCCCGTAGCACTGCTCACACCACACCACTTCCGGGCCTGCCTCTGAGCTCCTTGAGGGCAGGGAGCAACAGTCTGCAGCGAGGCTTGTGACCCGGCACGGCGCGTGTGCACCCAGCGCACAGAAGTGTCGGTGTGTGTTTGCTGAATGAATGAGTGCACGAATAAATGGTCCTCCAAGAGTTTCCTTGAGCCCTTTCCCTGCTGAGGGTGGTCCTCGCCCAGGCCCTGCTTCCTGCCCTCTACTGTTCAGTCCCCAGACAAGTGCAGCTAACTGGAGCGGCCTCCGGTCATTGTCCTGTGTCAGCCCTCACTGGGTGTCCTATGTGGTCTGAGCCCCCCTTCCACTAGCAGCTTTGCCAAGCAGATATTCGACTACCCTTGGGCCCAGCCAACAAGCTTATCCAAGTCAGGTGCTAGCCCCACTCACCTCTTGGAGGGATTTAAGCAGCTGCACATCTCCCGTTATGGTCTTGGCAATATAAAAATATTTCCAGTGTTAAGAATATTAATGCCCCAAACAGAAGAGAGTCATCTTGTCACAAGCTGATAACCCTGCAGGAGCATAAAATCAGGTTAGTCTTCTAGAATTTGGAGGTAAGGAAGACCTACCTCGGAGGCCTCCATTGTGGGCACAAGACTGTGTGCCTCCCACCCCTTACCCTCTACACCATAATGGGTTCCGGCTGGCCTCATTAGCTCAGTGAGAGGTGCCAGAAGGGGGGGCTGCTGACCCATGTGGCCCCAGGGCTTCAAGCAGAGGACTCTCCCAGAGGCCATGTTGTCACCAGCCTCACCCTGCTGCTGGCTCTCTCCGAACTCCTGGCCTGTTAAAAGGCCCAGATTTGCCTCTTCACCTCTGCCCCATTTCCTCATTTTCTAACTGTGCCATTGACTTTTTAAACTGATCAGTAGGTTGCACTGACTCATGAGGTTTCAAGGGCTAGAAAAAGAGCCTGGGCTGGAAGCCCATAACTGCCATACCACGGACTTGGTGAACTGAAACAAGTGTCTTCTCAATTCTGGGTCTCTCTTTCTTGGTTGTGGTGGACCAGTTACAACAAGGTGGGCTCCAGAATCCTCAGTAAACAGGATCAGTAGTCAGTGTGAGCTTGTGCGATGAATGCCGGCTGCTCTCATCGCGTGTGCTGGCCTCTCTGTCATCTGTGCCAGAGACTGTACAGTATATACCCTCTCACCGTTGGGTCACCCGGGAAACTAGCGTCCTTGCCTCCCCTCCAAGAAGAGGACGTATTCCAAACCTAAAGCACCGACAAAGACGGGGTGTGGAAGGGTGTCACCTGCTCAGTGCTCACAGTTAACACATGTAGCGTCCCTTATCACCCCTAGTGGAGGAACCTGAAGTTCAAAGAAACGTAAGCACTTGCCACAAGCACACAGCCAGTGGGCAAAGTTAAGACTAGAAATGCGTCTGCCTTTGTCATTTTCAGAAAACAGAGGTTCCTGGAGATTGCAACACAGGGATTGGGGGTAGAGAGTGGCAGAGGTGAGACCAGAGAGAGCAGGGACCCGTTTTTACAGGGCCTTTACCTTTAAGTCCTATTAAAGAGTATAGCCTTGAACCTGAGGGCGGCGGGAGCCATTGAAAGGACTTAGACAAGGATGTGATCACTTGGGCCACAAGAGAATGGATTAGAGGGAGAAGAAAGAGGATAGGCTGTGTAAGAGCAAGAGATGATGGGGTCTGCACTGGGGTGGGGGGCGGAATGAAGGGAAGTAGATGATTAAACAGAGTAAGATAAAATCCAGTTGATACTTGAGATTTGGGGAAGGAGAGGGCAAAGTGTCAAGCCTGATTCTCAGGCTTCTTTGGGAGCACTTGGGGTGCTGTTCACTGGGATGGAGAACACTGGGTAGTGAAGACATGTGGGGAAGGAAATTGCATTACTGGGGTGTTTTGAGTTTGTATGGATCTAGAAAGAGATGTTCCAGAGCTCAGGAGAGGTGCAGGCAGGAGATGGCGATCTTCAGGGCTCGCTGAAGCTCAGGGTGTGGATGAAGCCAGCCAGTGTGTCAAGTGCAGAGAGGTCAAGGACAGACTGGGGCCAGGCACAGGTGGGAGGTCAGTGCTGGCCCACTGGATGGCTGGTGACCTGGTGGGGAGGGGCTGGGCACATTCACTTGGGCCAGGGGAGGCAGATTGAGCGATTTGTCCAGCAATGAGGGAGGAGCCAGATGAAGTCAATAGAAAACTAATTTTCTTTTCTGCTGGAAGAAATGAGGTGTGTGGCCGCTGGGTAATTGCAGATAACGAGGGGACTTATTCTTAATATGCACAGTGGCCATGGTCCCCAGAGTGCAGGAGACAGGAAGGATTGGAGGTGCCCTGACAAGGCCGGACTTCTTTGGGAAGAAAATCACCCTATCGTAGCCTTTTTGACGGTGCCATCACAGCCTCTGGACCCTATCATAAACCCTCCTGCCCCATCTCCAGCCTGCCCCCTTCCCCTTCCTGTCAGCTGCCTCACTCCTGTCGCATCCCCCTCCCTCCACCCTCTACCCCCACAGCACAGGCATACACACTAAGGGAGACAAATGATGGGGCCTCAGCTGAGCGGGGTGCGTGTCCGGCCCATAAACTACGGGGACGGGTCACGTCTGGAGTTGCCATGGCCGCCACTACCCACCCATCTGTCTTCCCACTGTCCTGCCTCAGACCAGCCCTCGTGGCTTCCTGGGTCCCTGGAGGAAAAGGGTGTCCCCCTTTTCCATGCCCACATTCCCCTTGGGTACGTTCATGTCGAGGTCTGTGAAACAGGACCCTGTGTGACCTGTCTGCCCTCACCGAGTCGCATCTGGCTAATGACACGGGACCTGGGCTGGCCAAGACGCCTGCTTCCACAGCCCTTTTCTAGCGCTGTTGGGCCCCGTTTCCTAGTCTAAGGTTCTAGCAAGGGCAGGCTGGAGGGCTCAATGGAAGGGGTTGGCCCTTGACAGATGCAGAGGCCTCCTGACCCCACCTTGACCTTGCCACCACCCCACACCTGATTATGACATCGAAGTATAATGCTTCTGCATTCACAGCACCGATCCCATGAGGGCTGGTAGCGGCTGAGGTCCTGGTTATGGCCCAGGACCGTCTATGGGAGGTGGGAGAGGGGTGGGAGGAGGGGCAGGCGAAGGGATGGGGAGCTGGCTGGCGTTCTGGGCAGTGGAACAGAAAAACCCTGGGCGCTTAGGCCATTTCTGTCCTTGGCTTTCTGTAGAGGGACAAGCGTTGGGCAGCTGCACCTCCTGCTGGTGGCGTTAGAACCAGCCCTGGCCTATGTCCATGATACTGAAGGCGCGGAGCACCTGCTCCTGCAGCCGCCGGGGTTCCAGGAGTTTCTCACAGGGACCAGTACTGGAGAAACTGCTGACACGGTCTGGCAGGAGCAGACCTACTTAGGTACAGCCAGAGGCAGGACCGAAGCCTGACTGGCACCAGCTTTGGGCCTAGTGGGGGGGAGAGGCAGGGCTTAGACTGAGCACACAGGCATGTCTAGTAGAAGATTGCTGGCCCAGGTGTCAAAGGTCCACAAACCTGGACCCTCTCCGCTGCTCTGGGGCGACATGGGGGAGCAGGTGTCCAGAGCAGGCTGACCAGGCCCCCGGCCCCAAAGTGCCAAGGCTTGTGCCTTGTCACCAGCGATTATGGCCTGGGCCATATCTCTCTCTCACTCACTCACTCACTCGCACACACACACACACACACGCAAATGCCGGCAAAGTCACCCTGGCCGTGGGCGTGATGAATGGCCGCACAGTAATGAAATGGAGACATCAAGGCGGGTGGCGGGAAGACGGAGTGTGGCGGACGGGCCGTCCCCATGCGGCGGCAACAAGAAGGATCGCCCAGCGGCCGGGGGCCGTCAAGGGAGAAATTACACATTTACTCTGCCTTTTTCTTACTGCGACGGCGCCCATACATCACCGCTGGGGCCGGGGTGGGACATGCCGGCCAATTTCCAGCATGAATTATGGGCCTGAGCAGCATTGAGACCACGCTTCCTGCCGGCCCAGCCTCATCCAGCCCAACCTGAGGCTGGAGATGCTGCCACCAGGGCACAGGACCCCCTGGTTTAGAGCCTGTGGCTCCTGAATCTGACCCTGCTCCCCTCCCCCACAATGTAAGAGCACCTGTGGGCACAGAGGGGAAGGATCTGGGACCCATCTAAATGTCTTCTCTTTCTCTTCTCAGATGACTGCAAGAACATTGCCAACATCATGAAGACACTTGCATATCAAGGCTTCATTTTCAAGCAGACATCAAAGCCATTCTGATCGGCCGAGGACGGGATGGGGCAGGACAGGGTAGCTGCTTGGCCCAGCCCAGAACCCTCCTTTCCCTCACCAGAGGGGAAAAGGGAGAGTGGCACAGCTCTACATCCAGAGTGTCCCCCAGCCTGCCCTGTGGGCTTGTGCCCTGGGTAAGGCCTTGGCCACTCGGCCCCTCTGGAGCAGACACTTTGTGCCCCCCACCCCAACCCCTCAACCACAGCCCAGTATTAGCCCCTCCCACTGTGGGCCTGGGCTAGGGGGACCCAGGCACTCACCGCCTCTTCCCTGGTACACAGGCTTCTGCTGGGGCCACTGAGCCCCCCTGTGCCCCCTCCCATCTGTAGTGCATGGTGTGTGGTGCCCCCAGGGCTCCAGGACAGATCAGGCCCCACCTTGTGTCTACCCCCATCCCCGCTGTGAACGTGCCACTGAATAAAGTCGGGGAAACGAGGCTCTGGGTGTGTGTGGACCAGGCGCTGCTGTGCCTGATGCCGTCCAAGGTGTACAAGGGCTAGAGCACGTTCCGGGCTGCTCTGGGCTGAAGGCCACCGGTGCGGCTGGCTGTCACTGGAGCACCTGTGAGACCCTCCCTGAATAAGCACAGGGCCGCGGGGACTGTCTAAAAGCATGAGGCAGTGTTCCAGTGGCTGGTATCTGAGGCCGCTGCAATGGGTGAACCACCTCGAGTGCAGAACCAAGTACAGATGTTTGGGCAAAACTGGCAGTGGTGAGAGGGCTGCTAAGGGCCTCCCCGCAGGCAGGTCCCAACGCCACCCCTGTGGAGTCGGGGTGGTGACTGCTCCCACATGCCCCCCCCCCCCAAGCCAGAGGCATCACAAGTGGTGGGAAGGAAAAGGAAGCAGCCTGGTCCAACTCTGCAGCTCTATTTACACAGCAGCACCCACACCCCGTGTGGCCTCTCATGGCTTCTTGGCTTTCTTCACGGAAGAGGAACTGGAGGCTGATTCCCGTCGCTTCCTCTGAGAAGACACAGAAGGCGCTGGAGTCAGTGGCCCCCAAAGCTCTACTCGGGCTTGGTGCATGTGTTTCACACTCAGGGCAGGTGATGCCCACCGGCCACCCAGTCCTACCCTCAGTCCCAGAACCCAGCAGAGTAACCACTCCCACTGCCGGCACGAGAGGGAGCGGGGCCCGTTCCAGGCTCTTACCGAATTGGGCGTGAGGGGCGCGCCCACCACATCAATGATGGTGTCCTTGGTGGGGTCGGGGCCGAGGCCAGGTTCGGGTACCGCTGGCTCCGCAGGGGCCGGGGCCGGGCCGGGTGCTGGCGTGGCGGGGCCCCCGAGCACGCCGGCCCTGGCCAGGGCCTCGTGCCGGTGCCGCAGCATCTGCAGCTCGTACTCGCAGTTGGCGCAGGCCTGCTTGAGCTCGTAGAGCAGCACCAGGTCGCTCCGCAGCTCGTTGAACATGTGCACCAGCTCCTCCGTGGGTGTCGGGCTCAGCTCTGCAGGCGGCGGGCGGAGGGCGCGGGCAGAGCCAGGGTGTGCGGGAAGGCCAGCGACCAGAAGTGCCCCCCCGCCCCCCCTCCAGCCTTGATGGGCGGCCGCGGGTGGGTAGCTCCTGCGGGCCCAGTCCCCACTCACCCACACCAAGCTCCAGCAGCATCTGCTCCAGGGCCTTGATCTTCTTCTGTCCCACAGAGCTTGGCAGCTTCATCTGCAATGACCCAGGCTGCTAAGCCCTCTCCCCGACAAGTGGTTAAGGATGAGGGGGACCAAAAGCAAGGGGGAGTGGGAGAGAAGCGAACCCCGGAGGCAGCCCTACGTCCGAAAAGGAAATAACCAGCAAGTGGAGCAGAGCAAGAGCTTTGACCCCAGCCCAGCCACATCCCCGAGACCTCCCTCTCTGCAGCACGTGGCACCCCCCCCCCCCGGTGCTCCGGTGCCCTGGCTGCCGCACGCAGGCTGCGGGGAGCCCAGGGCCCCAGCACGGTGACGGAGGTGACACGTACCCGCTGGCTCCGCAGGGTGACGCCGGCAGACTTGAAGTCCGGGAACTTGATGCCTGCAGTCTCAGGAACAGCCTGGGGGAGAAGTTACGGAGACCGAGGTGTGGCAGCAAGAGGGCCCAGGGTTAGTCCCGGCACCCTGCCAGCTCTGGGTGCCCTCGGAGCCCTGCACCCTGAGCTGGGCTGACTCCGTCTCCGCACCGGCTTCTCCGCCTCCTTTTTCTGGGGTAGCTTCTTCTTGGGGGCTTTGCGCTCCGTGCGCCGCTGCTCCGCGGTGGTGTCCGCCGCTGTTATCAGCTTCTGCAGGTCCTGGCTGCGCTTCTCCCGCTCCTTCTTCCGGGCCTCAATCTTGCGCAGCTCCTGCAGCAGATACTCCTCCTCCGCCACCTGGGAAAGTGAGATGCCGCCGTGTGCACGGCAGGGGGCGGCGCAGAGCCGGGGGTGCGGGGCCACCGGGCTGTCTGAGGGACCACGAGGGAGGGGAAGGGGTGTGGAGCAGGGACAGTGGCTCGTGAGGAAACCGAGAGCAGGCAGGATGGAGGCCAAGGGCTTCCGGGCTGACCTGCTCCGGGGTCCGGTTGTAGAGACGCTCCAGCTGCTCCTTCCGCCGTCGCTCGTGCCCAGCATCAAATACCGGTATCTTGAGGTCTGTGCCCGGCACAGCCCGCACGTTGGCAAGCTTGGCACAGATGTGGTAGTACCGCTCCTTCAAGTCCTCCACAGAACGCTTCTGAAGATAAAGGCGCGGTGGGAAGGGAGGATGAATGCCCAGACGCATAGGGAAGGGGTCGCGTGAAGGCAGGGGGCCTGCCAGGCACAGGGGTTGGGCGCACGTGCAAATGCATGACAGCAGCTCACCTTGAACTGCTGGTGGTCGTAGCGGTCATGGATAACTACAAAACGTAAGTCAAAGCGGCGGCTGAGGTCAAAGAGATGGTCCGTTTCTGCCTTGGTCCAAGCGTCGTCGTGAAGGTACAGCTGGTACTCCTGCTCGGAATACACGGGAACCTGCACAGTCTACTGGCACAGAGGGACAGAGTGGGGCACACCACATCAAGTCACGGCCAGCGGGCTCCAGCCCCCGCGATCACAGCGCCTCCTGTATACCGCCCATCCCGAGGCTGGACCAAAGCAAACCCTCTGCCTGGGGCCCTGCACGGGGCAGCCTGGAAATGCTGTTTCCACGTGAGGAAACACCACTTGCCTAGAGACCCCGGCAGGCTCTAGAATCGCAGCCTGCCTCTGGATTGGGTCCAGGAGCGACCTGACCATGCCTTCGGCTCCAGAGCCTCAGTGACAGGATGCATGCTCCCGTCCCCAGGGTTAAGGTGAGGGGCTCACATGTAAGTGCTCCTGTGGAGTCCAAAGGTTAACTCTGGAGTAGAGCAGATGGCTAAATACTGGAGAAAGGCCCAGGATCCCGGAGTCCCTGGAACCCTTGTCTGAAGCACTCCTGCCACCCAGTGGTGACAATGACACTTGCAGCTCCCCAGAGCAGACCAAGGTCCCTTCTCTCTACAGAATAAAGGGGCCTGAATCCTACTCCCGGTACATGCACCCCTACACACGTCCCTGCCTCCCCGCTGCCACGCCCCCAACCCCAGACCTTCCTCATGGACAAAAAGCACCACCACCAGCTGGGCCTGTCAGTCAGAGAACCCAGGAAGGAGTCAATGTTAGGCTGGACTAGGGAAGTCCCTGTTCTCTATCAAAGACCAACCACATTGGCTCTAAACCTGCTCTCAAGACCCTATTTCCCGCTGCCTCTTAGACTTCTCCTACTGGAGGTCCCACATATACATATACCTCCAACTTCATATGTTCAGGTGACCGATAGTGCTGATCATTTGCAATATACAACAAATATGAATCATGTTGTACACCTGAAACTAACAGATTATTATATGTTGATTACACCTCAACAGAAATGGATGCGAATGTTCAGTACTGAGCTCGTCACCCTCCCTCAAACTTCTAGCTCTTCCAGTTCAGTTCTCAGTCAGTGTCACCATTAGCCAACACAGGTACCCAAGCCAGAAGACTGGAAACCATCTTTAACTCCTACCTTTACCTTTGACCCCTCCCCTTCCACAAAGCTGTGGCTTTTACCCCCAGGATCTCTTATCTCCACCTGCCACATCGCAGTCCAGACCACCACCACCACTGCCCGCATCAGAGAAACAGCCTCCCCACCTGCCTCTCTGCCTCCATTTGATCCTCCTCCCAGCAATTCTCCATCCGCAGCCAAGATGTGATCTCTCTGACCAGTGCTACCTAAAGGATAGCCTGCAGACCAGTGCTGTTTGCAAACTGGTACCAGTGGGCTACGTAAGTAGGGAAAGTGAGAGTAGGCAACGGGAAAAGTAGGAGTGAGAGTACGATAATTTCACAGAAATCACATGCCACTGAGTCGAATATGAAGAAACACGGGGGAGGGGGGCGCCTGGGTGGTTCAGGTTGTGACCTCGGGGTCCTGGGATTGAGCCCTGTGTCGTGGGGGTCTGTGCTCAGTGGGGAGTCTGCTTCTCCCTCTCCCTCTACCCCTCCATGCCCCCACTTGTGCTCACTCTCTCTCAAATAAGTAAATAAAATCTTTAAAACAAACACAGACTTGTATTTGGTCTTTTCTTATACCCTTACTATCAGTCTCTGATGGATTGGAAATACTTTTTTAAGGTCCTTCATCACAGATAATTCAGAAGCACTGTTCTAGAATAAATATCTGATCATGTCACCCAAACATCTCTTCCTAAAACCCTCAGAAGTTCTCTACTACACTAAAAGTGCCTTCTAGCTAATTCACAAACTCCTCAAAAGCATAGGTCAGCACAGGACCAGGCACACTCTAAGTATCAATGAATAGTTACAGAATCAACCGATGGGTGGACGACCTGCCCTCTCTGCAGCCACTGTCCCTCATGCACCCGAAGTTCCAAACAAATGACTAGCAGTGTCGGGAACACGCCAGGCTCTCCCCCTCAGCCTGAAGTGCATTCCCACTTCCACATTCCTTCTTCTAATAGATAACTTCTCATCCTTTTGGTCTCTTACAGGCATTAGCTCCTCTGGGAAGTCACTCTGGTTTCCCAGGCTTGGTTAGGTATCCCTCCCATGTATTTCAATTCCATTTAATTAAAAAAAAAAAAACAAAACAGCTCAGGAACTGTGTAGCCAGTCCTGCTCTCAAGGAGCTCACAGTCAAGTGAGGGAGCCATTCATTCATTCATGTATTTATCCTGGGCCTGCCAGACCTATGCTGGGAACACAGTGCTGAATTAAGACAGACAGTGCCCTTACCTTCTCAGAGCTCACAGTCCAGCTGAAAAAATAATTTAGTCCAGTGTGGCGAGTTTGATGCCAAAGGTATACCTAAGGGTATAATGAGTGACACCTGATCCAGCCTGGGGATAAGGGTTGGTCAGGGAAGAGGTGACAGGAGACAGTAAGGTTACTTTGAAAGAGAAGAGAGAAATGATCATGAT